AAAGAGCTCAGCTGACATCTGATACATTTATAAATAGCCCTTCTGCCCTGCTACAGCCCTGTGTCTCTCCCAGAGSGAGCAGGCACTCAGTGTATCACACTCTTCCTGGAACTGGGATGCTATCGAAGATTTTCCTCTAAAGCATCCAAATTTGGACTCTGCTGGAAGCTGGGTGSTCGAACACAGGCACCACTGGTCTGTTCCAGATTGGCAGTTCCTTAGCCTTGTCCTAATCTCCRAGGCTTAAGAGATCAGGCAGAGGCATTTCTCGAGCAGTGAGGCTCCTCCAGTGCTCCTGCCCTCCCTGACACAGACAAGCCCTGGACTTTTCTTGCCACTTTGCTCACACTCCACCTCCAGGCTGCTGTTCCTTCCTTCACTCCCAAACCCTCAGTTTCCTCCCTGTCCTCAGGGCTGGATCCTGTCTCCTCCAGGGGCTCYCCGAGTCCCTCACAGCTCTGGCAATCCTTGTTGAGATGTGTCCTGTGATGCTTTCACCAGTGTTCCCATCGAAACACAAAAAGCTCTGGCTTCCAGGGCATGAAGAGCCTGTCCTTTAACCCCTTTTTCATTTGCTGACCTCCTCAGATGATAACTGTTGTCGTTTCCCACACCTTACAGCACTGAATGTGCCTCAGATTCATCTCCCAAAGGGATTGCCAGGGAATGATGAATTGAGGCAGGAGAACTATGGAGGATTATGGGGCTGATTGAGATATTAAAGATTATGCCTGACTCATTTTCTTGCAAGTCTGATGAAAGTGAGTCAGATCCTTCCAACACAGTTTGACCTGGCAGATGCAGCTCGTGAGGAGCTCACCATGTTTTGTAAATGGAATAAAGTTCATYTAACACAGCAGGCCTGTATTTGCTGTTAACTCAAAGGCCTCTCACCTGAAAATCTGCAGATCACTTACCCCTTCACTGCTTGAAGGAATTAGCTCCTGAGAGCCCCTGTTGGTGAGGAGGTGGGTATTTCTGCGAGGTGACCCTCTGTCTCAAGGCAGGGCAATGGTCTTTCTCTTGTGATGCTGAGTTCAGCCCACTTGAAATACTCACACTCCCTTTTTGGATAGCCGGAACTCTGCCCCAAAAATTCTCTCCTGCCTCTGGGCTGTCTCTCTCAGCAATGCTGCYAATATTGGTCTTAATGTAATTTTGCTTTATTTTTCAGCTGCTTTCTCCTAGATGGGAACGCTGTCATTACCAAATGACACCTGTTTCCCATGGATCTCTTCAGCCCATAGAAAAAGCCATTCTTTCCCCCTAGGTCAGGTTCCCAGAGATGTGAGGTGTGTCCTGAGCCCAGACTTCCCCTGTGCAAAATGGGGGCAATGGTTCTCAGAGCCTCTGATGGGAGTTTCTGTGGGGCATGGCAAAGGTCTCACCTGGCTGAATGCAGACTTGTGCCAGCTTCAGCCATCAGCCTTGAATGCATTCTCTGTTCCTGTTCCAAAGCAGCTTCTAAATTAGAAACCCTACCAGCTGCATTTGATAGGGGCAGGGGTTTTGCAATCCTGGGAGCTGAGTCAGGCACAGACAGAGGAGCTGTTCCTGCTGCTGAAAGATTCTGATGYGTTCAGGTGCCCACTGCAATATTTCCCTCCTCACTCCATCTCCCCAGGGGTTGTGCAAGGTTGGCAAACCTGGCCAGCCCAGCATCAGAGGAGCAGCTCTGGGGGCCCTGGGCACTGGCTGACTCAGCAGGGACTCTGCTCCCTGCCTGCYCACGGCTCTTCCCCTGTCAGCAGCAGCATGTCCAAGGTAAATTCCGGGGTTTGGAACAGCTTTGGGCCCAGCTGAGGTTGGCAGCCTCTGTCTTACTGTGAACATTTTTGATACAGCAGCAGAACACCATCCAGGTATGGAAAACAGGCTGATCTTATCAAATGGTCTGCCACATGTGTGTGTTACATTTACTGATCTAAATTTCCCTGGACTGTACCCTGAAGGGAAAGGGTCTGACTCCAGTCCTTCAGATCCAGCCCCTTTTGCCAGTTGCCACTTTTAAAGCTTCCCTGATAAAATCTAACGGAGCTTGTTCGGGCTGCTCAGATCAGTGATGGCTGTGGGAAAGGGTCTTGTAAAATAGGACSGTTTAGATTTCTGTTATCCTCATATTTAGTTTCCTGTAGACTTTGCAGTGCTTTCTGAGCCTGGCCTGTGGCTAATCCATGCTCAAAGGACTAGCTAAAAGGCTCTTATTTATTTTATTGATACTTTTTCTAGCATCTTGTCATAATTTTCTGCCTTTGAGCCTGTTGAATGGTGACCCAAGGAGTTCCACCACTACAATACATCTCTGTTTTGTTACAGCACAAGTTCCTCACTGAAGATTGTCTTTTCAGTTGTTCAAAGTTTTCTTGTTGAATACACAGCATTGCTTTGGGCCAAGGCCAATGGAGCCTCCAGCAGTTTGTCTGATTTTCCTTCCACTCTCCATACACTGTGTTAGACCTGAGATTTCATGCTCTGCTCATCCTGGGTCACAGCTTGACCTCTTTTCTGGTGGTAAATCCTGCAGCTGCATTAAAGTGTGGCTGCTCCAGTCAGGCCCTTGAAGCAGCCCACATGGCTCCTCAGCAGGTCTGCAGGCTTAGAGGCAGCCAAAGAAGCTCCTGGCACAATTTCCTCCTGAAAGTGGGTGTGAGGGAGGAGGAGGCAGCAGTTATTGAGCTGACAAAATTTCTTGTCTCCTGTCTGGGTCTCAATGGGCTTCAAAAGAGGGTCGAGAAGTGCCAATTCCTCAGGCTGGCCCTGTCCCACACAGGGGCTGCTTTCCAGTGTGGCCCAGGAGCCTCTGTTCAAGGTGATTTTTCTTTTAGGAATTTTTATTCCTTTCCGCATCTCTTGTTCTGGGTTGCTGAAGATTTCCTGCTGGCTCATACTTTTATGAGGATTCGTCTCACCCGCTGGGCTGTGCTGGCTGGGCCCCTTCCCACTGCTGCTTCCAGCAGAGCCGTGGCACGGCTGAGCTCACCAGGGATGCTGGGCATGGTCCTGCCCTGTCCCCTCTGCCTGCAGCTCCACCAGCAGCCCCTCTGGGGGGCTTTTTTCTTTCCCAAAATACCTCCAACTCTCTCCATTCTTTGGTCCAACTCTGAGCCCAGTGGTTCCTGTGTTGTTGTCTTCCATTGCCTGGACTGATGTGTTGGCCCTCAGTGTCCTCCWTGGGGGTGGCATCCCACACCTGAGTCCAGCATGGAACCATTTGCCCCAAATATGGTGGGAGTGGCCTGGGGCTTTCTGTGTCCATTTCCTCTGGCGGCCTCAGAGCCCTTCTGTGTGCTCTGAGTTCTCTCCCTCCCACCAGCTCCAAAATCATCACCATCTCTGGCTTCCCCATGAATATCCCTTGATTCTCTTACCTGCGAAAGACCTAAACATCTCCCTGCACTCATACCAATCTGATGGGTCCCTGGCATATTTGTAGCCTTTATTTCTCTTCACCAAACCCCTTTGTATTAGGAGTGCCCAAAATTGCAAGGATTACTGGAACCCTCTCTTTTACCCCACGCAAACATCCCCAGTGTGAGGGCAAACAGTTCTGTGCACCATTCTCTGCTGCCCAGTGATGCCCCCTCTATTTAAAAATGGTTTTGCCAGCGGACAAATTATTAAACACCAGACTTGCACCAATTTCTTTGCCCAACTCTGGCTGTTTCTCCCCACGGCAGGCATGGGTGCTGAGCTGCTGGAGGCAGGGATGTGCCCGCTCTCTCGGTGGAGCTGCTCTGCCGTTGCACAACGCGTCTGTTCTCGGGGGCCCTGCGCAATCTGCTCCTGGGACAGATGTCTGAGCTTGATCCCGCTGCGGTGACGTCAAAGGCTGCAACACTGTCCCTGTCCCCAGAGCTGGCAGGGCCCGGCCGTGTGCCGCTGCGGCCACTTTGCCTCGTGTGGTGGCATTAATCTGGCACCGGTGGCCCCTGCTGCTCTGCACCGTGCACATCTGCTTGCATGCCTGGCTCCTCCTTGCTAAATTCCTGCTGCTCCAGAAGCCTCAGACTTCAGAAAAGCCAGCAGGAGTTGATTTTAAAAGGAGCATCCTCTGCTGTTGACCCTCGAACAGATAAAAGTGCAATGAACTCTCAGCCTTTCCCGTGCTGGGGACAAGGCTGGCACAAAYAAATGCCATTTGTGCAGTGGGCAGCCCAGCAGAGGGGATCAGTAAATCCCTGGATGTGCCTTGGCTCCATGGCACTGACAGGGCACAAGAGGAATTATCTATGTGCAGATATTTTGGATGCCTGYGTGAAGGGCTGCTGAAGGCAGCAGCAGCCTCAGCGTGTACCCAACAAGCTGTGGGGACATGGGGTGACACACTGCTACCCCTGAGTGTTTGCCACAGGGAAGGAAGGTTTCCCAGTGCTGCAGGGAAGGGTGCGACTGGCACAAGGACAGCCTTAAGGCACCCCAGTCCCTGCACCCCAGGGGGCTGTGGCAGGGCAGGGGTTGTGATTCCCTGTGACCTCCTGGCACCACTGCCAGCATTGCCAGCTCTCTGCCAGCCCTGCATGCTGCTAAGGCACTGCTGACATTCCACATCTGCCAGAGCMAGCCTGGAGTGGGCTGAATCCAGCCCGAACTCGATGAAATGCTGTTCCTGATCCGGTCAACTGTGTGCTGGCCTGAGCCATGGTCCATTCTGACAGCTCTGCACAAAGGTCATGGGAAGGAAGGAGTGCTTGATGTTTTCAATTTTTATATACTCAGACAGTTCTTAGATTCTTATTGAAAGCTGATGACAGATGAAGAACAGCTCCCAGTTGGGATTTTGGAAATACTGGGGTTTTCCAAGTTGTCAATCCAGCAGGAGGAGTTCCAGTGCACCTGTGGCTGTGCACAGCATCCTCTCCTTTAGGCAGCTCAGGGCTGCTGGTGGTAGCTGCTCCCTGGATGCTGCCACATGTAGGATATGCCTGGGGAAAGTGAAAAAAGAGTCTGTAATATTAGCAGGAACATTTTTAATGGTTCATGAAATGAAATAACTGTAAGATGTAGAAAGCTATTAAAAAATTGCTAGCCTTACCAAAATGGGAGAGTATGGGTTTTAATGTGTAGCAGAGGTAAGGTATCTTTAAAAATCTGTAATTTTGAACTGCAATAGGACTGAGAGAGGTCTTGAAATAAAATATTTAATTACCAAATCATTTTTTTTAAAAGATCCAGAGCTTGCAATTGATTTCATTAGCCTCAGCTGAGCTCACTGGTGAAACCCCTGGTTATTACTGGTGCTGCTGTATTGGTTTGGTGGGCCCCATCAGCAAATTATTGTGCTTGTAATGGGCTTTGCATGCTAAAAGTGAAGCTATTCCAAACCMAACACCCTCTCTGTCTTCTCTGATAGAGGCAACTAGYTTATTTCCTGGTGTAAAAGCAAAAGCAGTTTCCTTGACTGCTTGTGTTCACAAGGCTGTGAGGGGAAGGGCTGGTATGGCAATACCTCAYGCTCTGCAGGGCAGAAATCAGCCAGGATTTACCTGAGGGGCTGTGATATTTAGAAAGGAATTCCAACGGGAATTGGCACAGTGACCTTCAGCTGACTCTGACAGGTTTGCACGATCGGTGCCTCACTGCAGGAAGAGAGATGCTGCTTGCTGATGGCCAGGAGCCCTGACGGTGTCTGGGGAAACCTGCCTGCCTGCAGCAGCTCACAGGATGGCCACTGGTAAAGGCAAGCTTCTGCAAAACCRTCTGAATGTTGCTTGATCACTGGGYTGAACTGGCWTTAGAGCTGAGGGCAGTTTTTGCATCAGCCTCTGCAGCAGACAGATCCCAGAATCACTCAGATGAAGACCTGGTGAGGTGCAGAGGTTTAGAGATCTCTTTTCCCTAGGGAAAATAAAAGAATTAGCRTGTCATTAAGCAGAGGTTATGGAAGAATTAAAGCACTCAATAAGACATGATGTTCTCCCTAGTTCAGTGATTATAGGCTCTTCTCACAAGAGCTGCCATATTCCCTCTGCCTCTGGCACAATTCAGATGTCCTGAAGAAAAGGCTTTCTTGCAATCTTGTTTCTGTGTATTCTTCACCAGGCACTTGAAATCCATTTTATGAACATCAGTTTGTTCTGAGTTGTACATTGCCAAGATTATGATCCTTAGGGAACAGGACGTGAAACCGCAGAGCGAGGAGATGAGGTGAGTCACTTCTGGCCATATAGACATTTAAATAGCAGCACGATTGGGAAGGGATGTATTTTCCTCTCAAACAGTGTTTGTGGGGAAAAAAATATATTCCAGTAATCTGAATTTATCTCTCCARTATTGCTTCTAACACCAGCAGGCGTGGTCACATTTGATCACAAACACCTACAGAATAAGAAAACTGGCATCTTTAGATTGCAGGATATGTAATTCACCTTCCCCCAAACTTTTTGACAAGTCTAAAGTGGATGTGAATGAAAACATTTACTGTGATCACATCTGTACTTTGAGGAAGAATAATCCAGGTCTGAAGCAGTGGTTTTTTATTGCTTACATTGCAACTAAGGACCCACTAGATAAGAAAATAGAAGATTGCATCACAGTGGATAATTTTTGATATGAGCAATCCAGTTGTTTGGGGGTTTTGTCTGTTTTTTATTATTAATTAGTCTGCTGAGAATATCTGCCCTGGGACAAGCAGAGCAGTCAGCTCTCAACAGCAGCAAAATAAATCTCAGTCCAGGGCAACACAAATTGGGAAGAAGCTCCAGAGAGTGGTGCTATTTGAAATAAATTGAGGAAATATTTTAAAAGCTTGCATAGAAGAGCAGAGTTTTGCCAGCTATTACAATTGGACTTCAGAGTAACTGCTGAGTGGGTAATTAGTCCCACAGGAACGCAGGAGTCTGGACAAATGTAAAAAGGAACAAGAGGGGGAAAAAAGCATATGAAGAATTAACTTTAGAAAACAAGCTAGAACATTAGTCACAGGAGGGATATAACTCAACTTCCATTTAACATTTATTCCTGTGATGAACAGAAACACTATTCTTAACCCCTGTATTGAAGCAGGAAATACAAACCTCGCTTTTTAAGACAGTTGGAACTGCTTTACTGAAGTTCATCTCTTTGATAAGAGGGTGAAGAGGAGGGTAAAGAGGTGCTGAAAATACTACAAACCCAGCAAACAGGACTTATGTCCTGGTAGAGCAGGGAAAAAACAGTTGTGGAACTGGTCAAGGTATTAGGTGGGATCTGTTTTGCTCTCAGAGACTMCCCCATCATGAACACAGAGCAGTTAGAGTTTAGAAGATCATGTCCYCACCAACATTTGCTCACAGCCTGTCTACAGTGCATGGTCTCATTTTCCCCTGGGCTGACAACATCCCAGCTGGAATGAGGTGATTTACCCACCTGACATGCCAGAGGATACCTCTTTGCATAACTCTTCGCTGGGTTTAGAAAGACTTTGTGGAACACAACTACAAAGAAATCTTGAAGCCTGTGAAACACTTCTGAGGTTACACAGTGCACATGTGGTTGGTCCTGCCATTCCAGGCTCCTGATCCATAGTCCTGTGCTGTAACTACTGAACAAGAGAACTTATTTATAGAGTTTCCACACTTGGTTTTTGTGGCTTATTGCTCCCATTGTTATCTCAACAGCAGTGATTTGCTCATCAGTCCTTGGTAGGACAGAACCAATATTGCTTTGGCTGTTTGGTGCTTAGAAAAAAGAGGGATGTAATTCCTGTGACTCTTGAGATGCAGGAAGCTTTGCAAAATCTCTTGATGTATCTGGGTGTGGATCTATGTAAATGGGTCATGATCACTGAACGGCGTGTCTGGAGCAGTAACAGCGCAGCTGAAGGCTCAGGATCAGACATCAAACCTGGATCTTCCAATTTTGAGGACTTTTGTGCTGTCTCTACTCTGCAGCTTCCAAGCAGACTGAGCCAACCTCCCTGCTGGGCTCTCACCATACCAGTGGCCAAGTGATGGGGTCCCACCTGCCAGTTCTGCACCAGWACCCACAGCAGCTGTGTCTCTTGGTGCTGTGGTGCTGCATTTCTGCCCTGGTGCTGCTCCAGCTGTGACCTGAGCCGAGGTTACTGGTGTTTTCATGCAGTGTTTTCACGCAGGCTTTGTGTTTACTATTTCAGGTGAGCGAGAGGCTCTGAATTCCCTCGGTTGGGTCACCCCCTCTGTTTCCCAATTCAAAGCAAGAGGCCAGACAGGCAGGCAGCTCTTCCTTGAAGACACCCAGGTTCTCGAGAGGTGTGCCAGTGTCTGGCAGACGCGGTGATGGCAACGCACGGTGGACACAACACGGTCACGCTTGCTCAGGGCTGTRAACAGTCTCCAAAGGCACCGGCCGGCTCTCACCGCCTCCTGGAGAGCTCAGCGCAAGGATCCTGCCCAGGCACACCCAGCCCTGGCGTATTCCTTCCAGGAGAGGGCAGGGGAATACAGTWTATCGCAGATCCGCTCCCGAACCGGAGCCATCCCATCCCATCCCAGATCTGCCTCTACGTCTTGAGCCTATTTTGCTTTCCTAAACTTAGACGAGCAGAGGTGGGTGCTGAATGTCCTCGAGGTGAGTCAGCGGGTTTTGTCACCTCTACAGACCTGCCTGTCCCTGAGTCACCTTCGGGAGGGTCGGCAGGACCGGGCTGTGCCCGCTGCCCTTGAATCCCTTGCAATGCACCATTGAATGTGTCCCATTGAAGGCATCGGCTGCTGAGCAGGGCTTAGAGCCGAGCCCAGCTCTTGTGCTTCACTCGCCAGCAAGGCAGGGGAGGCAGTGATGGGACAACTCGTGTTTGACACGCTCAGCACACGCCTGTCCCTGCCGAGGGTGGAATGATTCCCTCGGGTGTTCATCGTGTCAGCAGGAACAGCTCTGCTCCATGGGTGTTTTTGCTGGTAAAAATGCAGGAGTTGTGCATGGAAACCCGAGGTTGGAGCTGGACCTGGCTAAAGATGGCCYAGAGAAATGCAGCCRGAAGGTCAGCTAGCGTTTTCTCTCKMAGTATAYTAATGAACARAAAGTTTGGGAGAAAATCAGAAACTCTCCCCAGGTCCCCTCACTATCTTAAATAGTCAAAAGAGTAATAGCACAAAAAAAATCCTCAAATGAGTTTCTTCCAACTTATCCCCCCCTGGACCTATGACTGTCTTGAAAAGACAACATAATTTCCAAACTAGTGGAGGAAAGATAAAAAGCCAAAAAACAATAAACTGTTGGCCCTGCAGCACCGATGCCCTGGCAAGGCCAAAGAAATTAAGTCCTGAGATTGCTGTTGCTGTTTCCACCTTGTCCTGCAGAGACACAGCCAGGAATAAACATATTCTTTGTGTCAATATTTCTGTAGTACCGAGAGAACTTACAGTCCTTATCTGTGAGTGTCAAGGACTGCTCAGTTAACGTGATCATAACATTACAGAGAGTCTGACAGGCTTTTTTGTTCCCTCTGTGCCCATGTAATTGTTCTGGCGCTGAAAGCTGAAGCCCAGTAGAGCTCAGCTGATGTGACCATCAGCTTTATGGCACATGGAAGGGATCCATCTGCAGAAGGCTAATTAAAAAAAAAAACCCCGAACAACACAAACAACAAAAAAACCCCAGCAAATAGAATTGGAACTTCTTTTTTTTCCCCCCCTCTGCTTGATTATTTTTTGCTTCTTTCATTGGAAAAAGAGCAACCTTGATTTGTAAATCAGATGGAAATGTGTGAGTAATCAATTCAGCCTGACTAACCCTTGTTTTGCCAGGTGGCTGGTTGGCTCATCAGATTACTAATAGCTTGCTGCTGCAGTAAATGGGAAACAGCAATGGCTGGGGCAGAAATACCACAGGTGACCTCTAAAGACAGCAAAGCAMTCACCTAATGCAACACAATCCCTCTTTTTGCCTCTCCATGAAGTTCAAACACTTTTCCTTCAAGTCCCCTCAAAAACGAGAARTAATTTGTAACACAGACCTGTGCAAGCAATATACAAAAGAGGAGAAAATCTGGGGCAGGGGACATCAGCATATGTAGAACACAGGAAAGGCAAAGTGTGAGCACAGCCAGAAAATTCCTAGGTGTGAACGGCTGCGTATGGCCTGGAGGAGCACTTTCTTGCCTTCCCCACCTTTAATGTGGCCCAAAACAACTCATGAATAGTTCAGCCTATGGCTGGTTCCTTTTTAACTTTATAAAGCAATTATTGTCTTCAGGAATATTTTTTAAAGCTTGGATTTTTTAAAGCTGTGGTTTATCTGCCTTTCCTGACTAGACTTTTAGCACACAGCCATCAGACAAATGCTAGTTAAAAGGACCTTAATTTTTTGATATCCCCAGTGTTTGACTGTGCTGTGCAATGCTGGAAAGGCTGAGCAGGGCAAGCAGTTTGACTGAAGTTCTCTTCTGAAAGGAGAAAAAAAGAGAGAATAGAAATAGATGTTCAAAGGACTTGTTGAAGAGGTGAAGAGAGAAGGAAGGAAATCTCTTAGTGATGCACAAAAATGATGGGTCAGGGGAAAATTCAGATATACTTTACAGCATGGAATGAGGACTYAGTTGTGCTGCAGTACCAAATGAAGGATGCTGGTGTCAGACATCAGTCACAGATGCACAAAACATCATTCCCAAAATCCTGTCCCTGCCCAACAGTCATTGCTGGTTCTCATGAAAAGTTGGCAGAAAAAAGGAATCAGAAGTAATTATATTTGTCTAGATCTGCGCATTTCCCCTGCTGTTAATATRGGCCTGTAGCATTTCCAAAGCCTTGAACAGAAGTTAGATGTGTGTCAGTTTGCTTTCACTGTCATGGGGCTCAGAAGAATTAACCAGTTCACAGCTTGAGAAGTGCAGTCAGAGATCACGGAGGGACGGGAAAGTGGCTGAGTCAGCTCAGGGGTTGGCACCTGCCACTGGAGCTCACAATTCTCAGTTTTGGGTTTGAGCCCCAAAGTGTGCCTGCAGACTTCCAACCAGGACTGCAGCTTGAGGCACTCCCAGCAGACCCATGGAGAAGACAATACKGTTTGCTGAGAAAGGAAATTTCTGTGATAAAATCCCAGCTCAGGAAGAATGCTGTAATGAATGAAGCTGTGGAGATGTTTCAGTAAGGACAACCCCAGAGTGGCATTCAAGATATCAGTGACTTCTCTGTGCTTCCTCATTATTCTGTGTTGTAAGGTGACATGTTTGTGCTGCAGTGAAGCACCAGGATTTGTGCCATTGTCTATCCTGTTTGTTTTGGTTTCAGCGTGTCCTTTGTCTCTGAAATTTTGCCTGCACAGAAAAAGAGGACTTTGGATATTTGTCCACGGTGTACTGATGTCCAAAGGCCTGTTCAGGGCAGCAATTTCTACAAGAGTTCTGGACACTCAGAAATGCTGAAGGCACAGTCCCCGAGCCTGCACACCCAGGCTGTGCCAAAGTTTTTCATGGATTCTGTGTGCAGGGGATCTGGGCATACACAAAAGGTTTGGTGCATCCGGAACCTGTCACACAGTGTGTGAGTGAGCTCGGGTCAGGGGCTCATCCTGCTGCTCTGGACCTGCTTCCCAGGTGCTGTGCACTGCCTGCCTGCATTTCTAATGCCTTTTTTGTATTTTCCCCCAGGGGAATGTCAGGGAGATATATAGGTGCCTTAGTTACGCTTTCCTGATAATTTAYATTTCATTTCACCTCACAGTGGTATTGAGAGGGTGAGATGCTCTGAAAGGTTCTTCAGATGTGAAAAAGAGTCAGATCCCTCCTCCATCATGGTGTGCAGATGCCAGCACAAAGTATGGTGGCCATGCATCCCCTCCCATGGCAGCACATGTTTGGATCAGCCTGAACCTGCTGAAAACTTTTCAYCTTCCCATCTCCAGCCTCAGAGATACCCAAGAGCCCTGCAGCTGCACAGTGGGCAAAGGAGCCAGCCTCCAGTGGTGCTTTTAGGGAAGCGAAAAGGCTGTGGGCCCAGTAAAAYGGATGAAACTTGAAAAGCAGAACTGGGAAAACACCGTTTTATTTCCACACAAGGTAAATATGGGACTTGACTACATCTCTAGCAATTTAAAGATAGTTCAGAACTGCTGTGACTAAAATATGAAGACATTGTCTTTTGCAAGTGGAAAAACACAAGTTAGAGAAAACTCTAAYGTGTCCCAATGCCTAGGTAGGTCACAGGAATGATAAAATTAAGATTGCAACTTTTGRTTGTTTTCATGTAATTAACATTGCATGGGACTCTTATATATGTACAGCCAACAATCCAAGATCCATTTAAGACCAGCCTTGAGGTCTTGAATTTTAGTTATATCTAAATTTCATGTCCTTTGCATTGCTAAATCAAGCTAAACTCCACCTACTCAGGGAACAAAGGGGTTTTAATTGAGAGAAAGTGGTAAAGCAGGGTTTGCCAAACATCTATTTTGGGTAAAAATATTTAAGGCCRACATTTTTACCAACGTAATCCTTTTTACGTCAGTGAAGTTACACTAATGCAGAATTTGGCCCTGATGTATTTGTATAAATATAGTATCTAGGATTCTGATGAGTACGTATTCATGCATTATTCATTGAGACAATGTGGAGAGGAAGAACGAGGTCTGTGCATGAGAGCAGAGCCCTGAGCACCCCCAGGTCCTTTGATTGTCCCYAGGGGATGAGGAAGCACCTGTGGGGTCACACCTATGGGGTCACCCGGTGCTGCTGCCAGGCCGTGACTTGTTGAGGCCGAGTGTCCTCTTGGGAAGAGATGGTTTATGTTTGCCAGGCTGTGGGATGTGTTACTGGCAATTCTGAAGAAATGCAGATGGAGGATATTTTTGTGAGTTTAAATTGATCTGGATTTGAAAAGAGATGAGACTGCACCTTGGTTCTGCCACAGAACTTTTGTTTGATCCTCTGTGCCTCAGTTTCCCAATAAAATGAGATTAATACTTCATTTTCCCTGCAGGAGAGAGAGGCCTACAGTGGAGGRGTACGAATGGTGTGCTGTGCCATGTGCCCTCAAAAAATGGTGCACAGACTGTTGTCATAAGGCTGCATTCTGGTATCCYAGGCTGCACATTCCCAAGGATGTGAAAAAAGGAAAAAATGGATTTGAAAAACCATGATTGAGCAGACAAACTGACTGCCCTGCAGCCATTGTGAGCTTCCTCAGCCGGACTACACCTCTGCAGGAGTTGAACATGAATCCTGATCCATACCAAATATTGCATAACTATAGTATGTCTGTATATACATGTATGTACATGCATATATATAAATTATTATATGYGTTTATATGAAAAACTAGTGATGASTGTAGTAACACTGGTGTGTGTGTGTGGGGCACATCTCAATACAGTTTAGCATGCTGGAAGTGCCCCCATCAAGCTCTGGCAGGCAGGACAGGGGCAGTTGTGAGGGTGCAGGGCAGGAGGGAGGGTGTGGGACTCCCCAGGGACTCACTTATCTCCAGGACATGTCCAGGGRCTTCCACACTTACAGAACCACASAGCAGTTTGGGTTGGAAGGGACATTAAAATGCCATCTATTCCAATTCCCGTCAGGGAGCAGTGACGCCTTCAACCCAATCAAATTGCTCAGAGCCCTGTCCAAGCTGACCTGGAGCGTTTCCAGGGATGGGGCATCACCCAGCTCTGCGAGCAACCTGTTCGGTGTTTCATCCCCTCGCTGTACAGCATCCTTCCTTACATCGAATCCCACCCAGCCCCGTTTCAGTKTAAAGCCATCACCCCTTGTCTCCCGTTGCCAGGCCTCCCCGCGGTTCGCACCGGCCCTCAGCRCCGGCCCTCAGCACCGCCCCGGGGCCGAGCGCGGCTCCCATTGAGGCCGGGCCCGGGCCGGCCCCCGCCGCGGCGGGGCCAATGGGGGCGGCGGACGCGGTCGAGCCTCTCCCCGGCCTCCCCCGGCGCGGCCGGGCTGCCGTCATGTGAGGGGGATATAGTACTACGGGAGCGGGGCCGCTCCGCACCCGCACCGCCTCCCGGGGGAGCTGCGCCCGCCTCCCGCCGCTCCGCTCCGCGCTGCCGGCCGCTCTGCCTCTGCGGGCTGCTGCTTTGCGTTCGCCTGCTTCCAACCACGCTATTTTATTCTGCGTGTGTGCGTTTTTAAATTATTCTTTATTTTTTTTTTAATTATTATTCTACAGATTTTTTTTCTTGTTTCTTTTTTCTTTTTAATTTTTTTTTTTTTTATTWTTCTGTGGCTTGGTTGTGTTGTTTGGGGATTTTTTCCCTCCCGTTTTCGCTGTTGTTGTTGTTGTTGCGTTCTTCTGGTGGTTGGTGGCCTTTGCTCCCCCCCGGCTCGCACAGGAGTTCAGGTAAGGGCGAGCGGGGGCTGCTCGGGGCCGCGTCCCGCCGGTGGTGCCTCCGWGCCCGCAGCACCGCTCCGGGACCGGGACATGGAATTCCATCCCCGGCGGGGCAGCGGACAGGGCTGGGGGGCTGTTTTCGGGCTGGAGCGGTGCCGTGCCATGGAATAACAGCCGGCGAGGGGGGGCGGTTTATTCCCGATCACTGCGACCCCGCTGGTGGGGGGGGACAGGGAGTTCGGCCCCCCAAAGCCTCCTGTAAAAGGGATGGAGGGGAAAAAACAATAAAATAAATAATAATTTAAAAACCACGACAAAACAAAACAAACAACACGGCTTAAAATAATAACCCAAAAAACAAAAACCAAAAAAAATAACAGCCACCCAAGCAAACAGATGCTTTGCAGCCATGGAAAGCAAACAGGCTTTGCAGCCTGGCTGTGCTCGTTCTGGGGTGCGAATTCTGTGTGTGTGTGTCCCAGCCCCCCTTTCCCTGCCCTGGCGGCCGGTGCCACGCTTTATTTCGGGGCACCCTTCACTGCCGGGGCTGCAGAGGCAGCGGGGTGCGCTCCGGCGTGCCTTCGGCAGGTGAACTGCTTCCTCYTGTGGAAGCCGAAGTTTGGGGCTGCAGCGAGATAGTTTTCAGAAAAGAAATCGTTGGGAATGTTTCTGCAGCTTCCAAAAAACAGTGGGTTTGGAGAAAACAAACCTAAACACYTCGCTGTGTCCGGAAAGCAGCACAGCCACCTTGCGGAAGAGATGAGAGCAAATGGGTTTTCTCCTGGCTCGCGGCTTCTTTTTATTATTTTTTTTTCTTCCCCCCCCCTGCATTTCTACTTTAATTTCTTAGAAACGCTGGGTCTGCTTCATTGCCTGGTTTATGGCTCTGTCTGTGGAGCAGAAGTCAGCCTGAACAGATTTAAAACCTTCTAGGGAACTAGAGAAAACCCAGAAGAGATTAGTCTTAAACTAGAAAAAGCTGTGGCAGTAAACGTAGGAAATGACTGTCAGCGTCTCATATATGCTGTGTGATCAGTTGTGCTGAGCTGACTGTCCAGAAATGACAGGCTGGGAAATACATCCCCGTGTTTCAGCAAGTTCCCAGGACTTCACAATTTAATGTTGCTCTGCGTCAAAATATGTCTTCTCTGGTTTGTTTTTTTGTCCTTTTTTTTTTAAGCTGGCAATTAGACGGACAGATTTTAAACAGAACAACATGTTTTTGGCAGAAAGGACATCATAACAACCCAGGGAACTCTTAAAAAAAGTTGGAGACGATGGTGCTGCTGAACAGCTGCTGTATTTCACTCCAGAAGTGGCTGTTTTCAGTGGCTCAGGCACTGCGGGCTCGCTATAGGTGCTTRCATTTCTAACATGTTTTCAAGGTTCCTAGAGATGAAAGTGCGTTATGGAAACAGCATCATTAGTTTTCATAGCCTTCACAGCCCTGGCTTTTTTTGGTTTTGTTTTCTGATCTTCTGGTTTTGGCTGTGTCTTCAGGCRAAGTAAGGATGAAAGCCTTTTGGTTGTTAGCCTGGCCTTTAGGAGAAAAATATAGCCAGGGCCCAATCCTGCATTCCAGGCATTCTCCAAAATCTTCTTGGCTGTTCTGCAAGCTTTGAGAGTGCACAGAAAGCAGAACTGGCCTGTAATGTGCCTGGATCTATTTTCCTCTGACAGTCCCCTCTTAAAAAGCCTCTGGTTCCWCTGAGTGACATTGTTCCTTGTCAAAAGACATGGGACACAGGCGTGCTGGCTGTTTTCTGCTGAGGTAACTGGCCCACAGCAGTTGCTAGGGTTCTTTTYTTTCTTCTCCCTCCTCATTTAAGCCCTTATTCAAGTTACAGTTTAGTTCTATTCCCAGGGAAATATATGGGTATTTTGATATGTGGCTTCCTAGTTCTTGCAGGCATTTAAAGAAAGCTTGAAAATTTTTATTTTTGTTTTTGTTTTTAAAGAAGTTCACTAACTGCTTTTGGTGCACGCAGAGCATGCCAGCTTTTCTTAGAAAAACACATGTTGCAGTCCAGATTTCCATCATAGCTCCATTCTTCAGAACTGGAACAATACAGACATTGGAGGGAGGATCAGAAACCACCTAAGGGCAARTCTTCCTTTATGCCCTGTGTTTCTCAAGGCAGTCACCAGTTTTTGGTGCAAGATCGAAACAATCAGCTTGGATGAATTCTTACCAGATGCCAATAGTAATTTGTCAGAAGCAGRTTGTGCTTTCTGTTTCAAACCGGGAATAGTTCCGCTCTGGGACTTCTGCTGGGGGAACTTTCCACTAACACARAGATTAAAATTGAGAAAAAACGTGTGCTAGAAATAGTTCAGCTCTTCTGACTCTTTGCTTTTACTATAAGACATGATTATAGGCTAAGGTCACAAAACAGAGCCACTAACCTCTGTTTGAACTTCCTTGTGTTCAGCACATGTGGCTATTTCATTATCGGTTCAGAGGCATAGCTGACTGACAGGACACGCATACCAGGAAAATGTGCAATCTTTCTTTTAAGTCTTTCTTTCAACYCGTCCCCGTTTCCTCATGCGAGAATGAAAGAGGAAGCCTTATCTTTGAGAAATATGGCTTCCCCCCACCCCGTGAAATATTAATAAATGGTGCCAATGGGACAGAGCTCTGTAAGGGTGTTGTGTAAAATATCTCGCTCTGTGTTCACTGCAGCACTGAGCATACAGACACCTTTTGATTTTTGTCCAGAGAAGGAAAGACAGAGCAGATTTTGGAGAAGAGGCAGCAAAGATGCTCTGCAACAGCAGCAACAACCACCCTCTTCCCTGCACAAAACTGGGAGCTATTGACTATTCATGGCAAAGCGTCCAAAGCGCAGCGGCAGAGCCTGTGGAAAATGACAGCGTGTAACAAGATTGACTGGCATTTCCTTCACGCTGGGTCACATGCCTCCTAATTCACACACTCACAAAACCTCACAGGCTGATCGAATGACTTCTATCTCTGCAGTCCACATACCTTCCACAGAAAGAGCTGTTTTATTATGCACATGTACAGCTCTGTTTTCAATCAGTCACCTTGAGCGAATGACTGAGGGCCAGTGTTTGCTCCATCCAAAGGTCTCTGCATTTGCTCTCCAAGGAGCATAATCTCCGACCGTAAGCGATTTTTTTTTTTTCCTCGGGGAGGTGGGGAATAAAAAAATCCGCAGATGTCCCTCCTGCCTCCCCCTCCCCAAACGCATTTCTAGGAAGTTTGCTAGYCTTAGCTGGGAGAGCGCAGAACAATCGGGAAGCGCTGCGGTGGGCTGCCCTGGAGAAGGTGGGGTTTGATATTGTGGGGTTGTAGCGGGATTAGGGCTCCCGTGAGCCGGGATTTGTGGGGTGCTGCTCGCTCAGCACGGGCTGGGGGCTCACGGCAGGTGGGGATGCCGGGGGTCCCGGTTCGGCAGCTGGCACCGGGCTCCGCTCAGCCTCTGCCCGCAGAGAGAGAGAGGAGTACGGAGCAGGGGGTGAAATCAGCCTCCAGCTGGCTGCCAGGACATGGTAATTAGCTCAGTGCAGTGCCAGCCTTATTAAGGACAGTGCAGGTGATGATGACGTTGGCACACTGATTCATTTACATCTGGAAGGGAAAATCCGCCTAGTAAATGCTGAAGCACAGTAAATATTTTTGGCTCCTGCCAGATTGATCCTTGCATTATGCTGAACAGCCTATATTTGTAGAACTGAGGAAGTTAAAAATAAGGTTGGTGGAAAGCTACAAGATAGAGAAAGGATTTGCATTTTATGGCCACCAGCAATAAACTTTTTTTATTTGTTTCTTTGTGGTGGTAAAAATTTCAACACTTTATTTTTTTTTCTCCCATTCCCTTYTTTGGCTCTGGATTTCACTGCTAGGTGAAAGCTCGTTATTTATTTTSTCTTGCCGGTAATATTCT